AAGGAAATTAGAACACTTCTGTGTCTTGGCAAGATAATGTATTTGACTTTTTGCGGGTATTAAATGCAAATCCTTGTGCAAGGATACAGCCTTAGTACAAGGTGGGGAAGAAAAAAAACAACCCACTACATTCTTCTGCTGCTAATTTTTACTATATTTTTTCTTGCCAGAGTAGCTGGTTGTTTTATCAAGCCTGAAAAGTCTTGTCTCTCTTGTCTCTTTTCTTCTTTCCCTTCTTGTGGCAAAGCACTATGGTATTTCCTTTCCTTGCCCAAATTAAAGATCTTATTTGCAATCTTTACTGTCTTCATTCTTTAGTCACAGTAGCAAGTTGGAGCTAGTGTGTTTTAGGGAACATGTTACTGTGTTTTAAATTCTTTCATTAATCTTAGTTGCTGATTATTTCATCTTTTCATCACTGTGTTGTGCTTCCATTCCCAAAATGTAGCTTGAGTTCTATTTAGAGATTTGGTTAGTGTGTTTTTCCTTCAGGTATTTCTTATTTGGAGAGAGCATTATTTTAAACTTCTTTAAACAACCCAATTTTACTTGAGTCTGAGGAACTATTTGCTCTGTTGCCTTCCCTGCAGGTAAAGTAGTATAAATTTCAGTGGGGAAGATAACGTGTGTAGCCTCTGCAGGATCTACTCCCTGCTATCATAGGGTGCACTGTTGCCATGGCAACATTTTTTTTAACTTGTCTGCAGTCACACAGGAAACCTATGGCAAGCGGTGTGCTGCAGGCTAACAACATGTTAGCAACGCATTAAATGTGTACCTCGCTCGCAAAACTCTTCCCCTCTGGAACTGCCTGTTACTTTGCAGCCATAACCCTGGTAATAATTGCAGATGGGTGTAGAATGATTTGAGTGTAAGCACGCTGCTGTTGGATGTGTGACCACGCTACTTGATGGTTCGGAGAGGGGAAAGCAGGCTTTATCTGAAGGACCCCAGACTGTGTCAGCAGGAAGCAAAGTCAGTTGGTAGCAAGTCATCTTCTAATAAATAGCACCTTTTTTCTTTTTTTTTAATTTAATTTCAGAATTCAACAGTAATGGCCAGAGCTGAAAAATTCAAAGAAGTTGAATATCTCCTTATTCATGGAACAGCAGATGGTGAGTTGCAGTTAATTAGACATTCTAGTATTACAGACAGGTTCGCAATTCTACTACTGACAAAACAAAAGCATGAAGGGGCAAGGCTGTTACATTTATGTCAATAAAATAATACTGCTTTTTGCAACTAATCTGTGTTTCAGTCAGCAGTGATGGGGAGTCTAGAGTGTTCATTGCTTTGCTTTTCCCCCAGAGTATTACAGAAGCAATTTTTTGTTTACCTTTTTCCTCTTCCACTTTTCAGATAATGTTCACTTTCAGCAAGCAGCACAGATTTCCAAAGCTCTTGTTGATGCCGAAGTGGATTTTCAGGCAATGGTATAGTCCCGTTTTATTTATCATTATACAAATGAGTTTGTATTATGAGAATAATAGCATGAGCTCCCTGTGGTTAGGTATAAATTCACTGCCATCTTAAATGAAAGTTCACATACTTGCATTTCACGTTCAGTAACTGAAATCTGTACATAGAGCACCTATGTATTTCTGCATAAGAAAAACTCTTAAGCAACTCTTTTTCATATTTGACCCTGTTTACCTAATCTTTCATTTTGTTAAACTTTTTGTGTTCTCAGACAAACAGCCAGTCCAAATCTTTGCATATACCCAAGTGCAATGAATATTACCTTACAGATAGAAGGAAATGTTAGCTTCAGCTAAGTCCGTAATAACCTGTCCATCATGTTTGGGGTTCACTGATCTTGTAAGACAAGCAGTTATTTTCCCCTTCTTATACTGTCCATGGAAGATCTCAGACTAAGGTGTAAGCTCTTCCTTTCCTACATTCTCCCAACCACTGGGAGCAGTGCTAAAAAGGATGAAGTATAGAAAGAAGCCAAGTGGACCAGTCCTTCAGCCAAACTTGCAGGGCAGACAGGGGAAGAGGTGAGACACCCCTCTTAACAAAACAGCTGCATCTACTCTCCATGTGGACGAGCCACGTGTTCTTTTATGCCTTCGGCATAAATACGTAGTATATCCCACACACAAAGCCAGGACAGAAGTGTCATAGCAGCTTCCTACCCCTTCATGTCTTTGCCTCCATGTTGAAGGCCTCATGCTGGGATAATTTGAAATGGCTGCACACGTTATTATGTCTATCATGTTTGATTTATATCGTTTAGATGTAGCTACAACTAACACTCTCTGTATTTCTCTTTCACACAGTGGTATACTGACAAAGACCATGCCATCTCCGGTCAAGCACATAAGCATATTTATACCCACATGAGCCACTTCATAAAGCAGTGTTTCTTGCTGCCCTAGAACCAGCATTTTGCTTGTTAGTGATGGTACTTCTCCAGAAAAAAACTGTAGATCATGTACTCTGAGCCAGTATAAATCAAGATGAGATAAAAGTTAGCTCTTGGGATACCAGTGTACACAATGAAATGCATATCTTTATGATTTCTGTTGCCAAGCAACTACTGCATTTTTATTGATTAATCAGGTCTTAGCATCACCAGAATGATGTTGCAGACTTCTAGGAAGCATGGTACTTCCTTGAGTTTTTTATTAGTTTTTGACATTTCAGTCTAAATGAGAAGTCATGCAGTTTGTGTATTATGGTAATGAATGATAAAAATGCCAGAGAGGAACCAACATGGAAATCAGTTGCAGAATATAAGTAAAGATGTTTCCATCAAAAGTGAGATGTACCCTGGGATCATTTCTGTGAAAACACTGACAAAAAATTTTGAAGGAATTCTGTAAGGCTTGATAATTATTATTTTAGAATCATCATCAGGAATACTGTGATGTTAATATTTTCTGTGCAGAATGAAAGGCTGTTTTTACTGCTGTTCCTTAAATTACTGTCTTCTCTGCAATCTCTTGGATTACAATTGTAGAAGTCTTGCAAGGAAAGCATGTATCCAGCTTTCATCAAACATTTTGAATGATACCTACTCAAACCAATGTCACTGCATTTCTCTGTTTGCTATTATTATATAGAATTGTGATTTTTTCTTATTTTTATAGTAAAAAAGGCTGCTACTGTGGGAATCTGCTCTAGTAGAATCTTCCCTGGGAAATCTAATGTAGAAGTTTCTTATTTACTGATGAATAGGATCTGTTCCTTACACTCAAACATAAAACATTACAATGAAAAATAGTAGTCACTTAAAGCAAGGGCTGGACCATCACTCTTCTGTGAACATGCTCTTTGGCAAACCTGCTTTTCCTTACAGCCTACCAGCAAATGTCTGCGTTATCTCCAGCATACCCGGTAGGCTTCTCCATCTGAGGATAAGATTACTTTTCTCAATTTCACACAGCTAGAAAAGATGCAACCCACTTGTACTAAAAATTGTTCTGCTTTAAAATAATAAAGACATTAAGTCATTAAAGAAGGTGTAGTCCATATAATTGAAAATATTGCTTTAGAAAAAAAACCTCGTAGAGTTTTTACAAAAATCCCCATTAATTTTAAGGAAGACTTACAGTGAAGCTTCTGCTTTTGTGTAATGGTATCATGTAATGGAGTGTGACATGATTATCTAACACTTAACTTCTTGATATTACATGCCAGCATGTGATTATATCTGTATTGTGGGTTATTAGTGGCATTAGGTGTGAACGTAAAAGTACTCATGCAGACAGCTAAAGCGTGGGGGAGAATGTTAAGACACTTCGTGCAGCTTATCCTTAAATGATAAAAGAGAAAGGAGGCTGAGGTACAAAATAAGGGGGTTTTTTTCACAAACAAACCACCAATCACTTGACCCACAAAATAAGGTGTTGGGGTTTTTTTTGAAACACATTGGAGCTAGCTGGGTTTTACAAATACCATCTTGGGTTCAAGGCAGGAGTGGTTCTAATATAGACTGGCACCACTATTAAAGTTCTGTAGGAGTACAGGCTGTCAGTTGTCTCCAAGAGGTTATAATATCACATCTCTCATTCTTTTGACTCAAGGGAAAGAAACATAAATCAGTATAAGGTAGATCACAGCAATACACAGGTTATAAAAAAAGATTATCATTATGAATTTAAAGATGGCTTGTGTACACAAGGGTAATAGTTGGGATTTATTTTAATATTATCACTCACAGTGTCATAAAGACAAAAACCGTATTTCTGTAATCCAAAAAACTACTTTAACTAGGCTCTCATTAAATAACTGCAAGTATTAGTGTAATCAGAGAAGGATTTTTAAAAAAAATAACTAGAAATTATATGGTCTGGGTAAGTCTTTCACTAAGTAAAGATGCAATTCTTTGCATCTGACGTACCTTAATGATGCTAGCATCTCGCTGGGAAGCTCTTCTGTACTCTTATTACTCTTTAACTGTCTTATCTACAAGCCATAACAAAATACAATGCTAATTATCTTAAATTTCTTTGTCTGGAAAGCAACTTATATCCTGCTGATAGAGAATGATGCAACTTTTAAAACAAACAAAAAAAGGTTTTATTGCTGTAATAAGTGTCCTAATAAACATCAATTCAGTGTCTAATTTTTCATTCTGGTAGAACTCCCTCAGCTCCAAAAATTATGCAAGCACTAGGATAACAGAGCTGCCTCAGGGAACTGAGAACTTGCTTGAACTGCATGAGCATGGATAAATACCTAAAACTGAGGCCACAAAACAGAGTCAGCTCATTCCATTATGGTACAAAGCCAGAAATCACTTGTGCCTAAAACAGTGCCACTTGTGCCTAAAAAAGTTAATTAGGCAGCTACCAATCTTCTTCTTGCTCTGTACTTTTTTTCCTTTGTGAAAGGGATACTTAAGTTTATTGTAATACACTTAGTATAAAATCCTAACAGAAGTAGCTGAAACCTGAGGTGTGACTGTTACCATTCTTAGGCTGGAAGGCTTATAGTCTTTGGTTTAAAAATTGGTGAAGAAACTCAAAGGGATTTAAGTAAAATGTAATCAATACTGTAAATAATACTGGGCTTTAAGGCCTAAAAGTTTTTCAGTACCAGAAGTTTAGGGTCCTGAGAAGAGCGGAAGCACTGAGGAATTTTCAGTTGTATGACCTTACCTATTAAATTCTAAAAAGACCCAACCACTCCTGCGTGGTCTGCATCATCTCTCTCAGGAGCAAGGGGGACCAACTCATGACTAGTAAATTCCCATTCTTTTCCTCCAACAGGGCAGCTGTGTGCTATCCCCGATGTCACACTTACTGTTAGAGTCAGAGCAAGTCACCATCAAATACACCCAGTGAGCCAACAGTGGCAGTGTTGCCTGTTTCAGTGAAATGGAGCAATACTGGGCTCTAGCATTCATTAATTTGTGAAGCAAAATGTCAGGTAGACATTTCAAATACCATATGATAATGCAAACCTGTTTTGGGTCTTGCAGTGTAAAAATAAAATTGAAAATAAGTTAGGATAAATATTTATTATCACATAACATATCTTAATTGTGAAAAACACAATAGTCTATTCACATGTACACATAAGCTTTTGTAATAAATTACATCCAAGAAATTGAGTAATTTTGACCAGGAATATGAAATTAGAAGTAAATATAGCACTACATCTGCTTTATATTGTGTGTGATGTCAGAATGTTAAGATTAACATTGGAATAGCATTTAAATTCACGCAAAACCAGAGTGTTTTAAAATAAAACCTCTCTGAAATACTGAACAGAAATACAGAATGCCATTGAATACACTGACTTCTTAATATTCTAAGAGTTGGTCAAGTGAAGCTAATACATTTTGATTGTACACATTATCTGTAACAAAGTCAGCAACATGTTAAAACACCATCAGGCTGCTTTCAGGACAAACCAGTATTGAGCTCCTATACTAACCTTAAAACAACTGGAATCTTACAATTTATCATCAAGTACACAAAACAAAGCATTTAACCTTAATGCGTCAGCATTTTTTCCTAAATTTACAAATACAAACATTGAATTAAATGTAAATCCTTCTTTGTGTCCACTAGATATTTTTTTTCTTCATAAAAATGGCTTTTAACGGGCTTTAATAATGTTAAGGTAAATTTAGAACAGTGACCCTATTAAGTTTGCAGCAAAATGCAATTATTTATGGCTAAAATAGTAAAACATACACCCTCACATACACAAAAACATTAGAATACTTTAAATGTGGATGGGAAAAATTGCTCAGATGAGGTGTATAGAAAGATTAGTATTTTGGAAAGCTGGTGAATGTTAGAGCCCTGTGGATGAATTATTACAAAGATTGCAATAATACAATTCTTATTTTTAGAATTCAAAGTAATAGCATAATAATGAGATTTAGCCTTCATTTTAATAATTTAAAAATTTACCTTAAAAAATTTAAAAATCAGTGAATTCCAAATAACACAGTAAAACTTTAGCTCCACATCTCTATTCATTCAATACCTAATCTTGCAGTCTTTTACACAAAAGAACAGCTTAAAGGATCAGGCAGTAACAAATTCCATTATGAAAAATGTCTTTGTAATAGTTTTAAAGCCGCATTTTACTTTGCAATGTTGTTTTTATCTTTTAATCAATACGTACTTGATGGAATAATGAAGAGCTGTAACAAAACAACAGCAGGATACCCATTTAAGTATTATACACAATCTCTGAAACTAAGAGGTTTACAGTTGTTAGAAGACAGTATAAATATGCCCTTTATGTAGTTGAATTTTAGGCAGTAAAGAGGAAGATTATTGGGCAGGTGATATAACTGCATGTGGGGTATAGTTTGTATAGTTTGTACAAAATTTTTCCTATTATAAAATAATGGATTCATTAATGATAAAATGCATTTGTTTGGCCTACCATGGCAACATTCATACAATACAAGATATTGTCATCACAGATTGCATTTTAAGAAATACTGTACCCATGTTTCACATCAAAGGGTGTTTTTCGACTAAGGTGAGAAAATGTTTCAATATATATTTTTTTATATATATATATATATTTATATAGGACTATGTTCCAGTTACATACAAATTTTAATATTAAATACACTGTATTAAATCAAGGAATACTTCCCAAATACAGAATCTGAACCCTGCAATCCTCATTGCAAGAGTAATCCATGACTTCAAAAGGACAGTTTAAGGAGGAAAGTAGTGTCCTTGTTAGTTTTTTGTTCATAAGGTCAGATCAGTTGTTATTTTATAAACTTCTTAATGTTTGCTTGTCAGTTTGGGTCTCCTGAAATTATTTACTAGAGTTAGGTGATGTTTTAAAAAAATTGTAACTAGGGTTTTCAAGTTCATCCTGAATGAAGATTATTAAGTTTTCTCACACAGAAAAAGTAGCAAAATACAGTACAAACCTATTAACAGGGAAGTTGGATTTAAAAGAAAATTTGCTTGTTACAGTTCTGATACGAATACTGATAAATGGCCAATATCAGCAATGAACACAAAGATTTTTTGCATTGGCTACTGCAGACATTTACACAGATACTAGACAAGGTAGACAAGGTGAAATGAGACAAATATTGCACTACATTACCTGTGCTAGTTTGAGATGAAAGACAAAAGTTACAAGGTAAATCATTTCTATTTAGTGGTTGTGGCACTCCTGTCATTCGTTTGTAAAAAAATTACTTGAAGAACAAGTCATAGACAAGTCTCCCGGTCAACACCTTTCCCTGAGTCAGCTTTCTTCTCTTTTCTGATTTCAGCACTAGGAAAAGAAGGGGAGGGGGGAAAGAGTTATAGTAGCACTATCTTATGTATATTAATGATCTAACCGAAAACCAACATTACACAGATATTTTATTTTTCATGCTGCATGGCACAAACTGGGAAAGCAAGTGAAAATTTCTGTGCTAAATGGTGCAGAAGACATCAGCCAGCATTTTAGTGACAAGGGAGGTAGAGAAATTAAGATGTACAGAGACAAGTCAGCCAGCATGCAAGCAAAGATAGCCACTTTTTTTTTCTTTTTTGGCAAATACAACTGTTAATTTACTAAATAATGGTAATGGTACAGTTCTCAGACAATACCAGCACATTCTTAAATGGCACAAACAAGAGGTCACAATAAGTATTTCTTGTCTTTAAAATGTATTCTGTTGCTCAATGTACATTTAGAAGGAATGTTTCTGAACTAGAGCAGTGCAAGCCAATTTCCAACTAATATTTGGCTTTCGGTCTTGATTGGGGAGAGCAGAAGAAGGCTGGGGAGGGTGAGGCAAGACAGTATTCCCCATCTGGAGTTTAATACATACTTCTTCATGTATACATTATAAAGAAATAACTTTAAAAAAAAAAAAAGCCTGAAAGATCACACAAAAGCCATATTGCTCAGAACTCTAAACCAGAGTTCAAATTTGGATTCAGCTTTTTTTTTTTCCCCGGTTAAAACACTGTTGATTTGCCTACAGAAAGCAATATATGTACAAAGCAAATGTTTTGGGTTTGAGTTTTTTTGGTGAAGAGGGTTCTAATTTACAACAGTGTAAATAAATAAAAAGTCATGTTCTTGCAATGAGTCTCAATCACACTATGAAAATGCAAAGGGGCTTCCACAACACAGGCAAACCAAGCCTTCAACAAAGAGTGGCAGGGTATCTAAAAAAACCCCCAGATGCTTTTGAGAACAAACCTGTAGCAAGCACATAACCTACCAGGTTTCATGGGAATAATTCCTTAACTAGAATGAATGAGAAATAGGCTGAGTTACACAAGGCTTAAAGAAAGCAAGATCAATTCTCAAATTCTTAAGGCAATTCATGCACATTTTTACAATCATCTGACATTTTTCTTCACATAAAAATTGCTTTAAGGATACAATTCAGTTCAGCCAAAGCTTACTTCTATGCCTATGGCAGCTTCCAGAGGTGTTAATGGAAATAGCTAAAGAATACCAACTTCTGCCACTTCAACTGCCAAATCTGTCACCTTCTGTAGAGCAGTGATAGAATTGGGTATGTTACACTTTCTGCACACAAAGGGTATGCAAACAAATTCCAGGGGTGGGTGAATTTAAGGTGCAGCAGTACAGCAGGCAGGGAGTTACCTGTGCTTAATAAAAGCAAACACTGAGGTGTTGTGTGCCTTACAGTGTATAATATTTCCACGTTTTAGGTGCCTCTGTGATACCAGGAAAGTCTTCTTTCTATTTAGGATTCACATCTCTGAGCATCTCCTGCAGATGTGGGGCTTTAATGCCTTGAGAAATTTGGAAAAAAAAAAAGGGACAAGACCAGTCTTTTACCAGTAAAATATTTAACTGGTGGATCTGAAAGGGAGTTAGAGCTCTCTTCCTTCCTACCAAGGGAGTAGTCTAACATGCCTCAGCAGGAAGGTTTGAGAAGATGTAGGATTTGCATATCTTCAAGTAGAAAAGGGAACTCATACCATCTACAAAGCAACAGATGTCTCTTTCTCCAATACTTTAAAAGACCAACTAAGTCTGCCTTCTATACATGGTCAGATCTTCTGCATATCCTTTGAAATTGCTATCTGAAGGGCTTAATATTATAACCAAAGACAGTGGAATATTTAAT